CAAAGAACCAGTAGTCGAAAAGAAATGAAAAGTATATTTTTAAAAGAACTTAGGGCTTGATTACATGAAGCATTTCAACCCAAGGGTTGAATTTGAACCCTTTTGGATGGGTTAAAATTTTTTCGATTATATGGCGGCTTTCCACCCCGGATCTGAGGTCTTGAGTAATTGCGCGCAAGTAATGAATTTCGCGCGAATATCCAAAATTGTAAACATGGCTGACGAAAATTTTTATCGATTTTTTATTTTCGGTGCTCATCAACTGTGACGGATCATTGGCATAAATGGAAACCATCTCACGTTTGACAGCTTTGTACTGCTTGTCTGCATTAAAATCACTTCTTAAACTCCATAAGCGTCCTATTATTGCTCAAACATCTTAAAAGATTGTCACTTTGTTGCTATCACAACGAAATCTTTTTACAGGGACGATAATCGCACTTTCTGCTTCTGTATCTTCTTCGGATCGTAGGATACCTCGTGAATTGTATTGACTCCATTTTGTTTTGGTCATGTGCAGTATTGCACGCATTTCTTCGCTACCACGAATGCTCACTGATTTCAGCCCTGGGTATCAAACATTTACATGAGACATTTTCAGCGCCGGTGTTAATTTCAGCAAAGGGCTGAGATGTCAGCCCGGGTAGCCCAAGCAAGGATGAAATTTCAACGCCGGGGTTGAAAAGCTGTCATGTAATAGCGCATTGTATTTGATTAAGATTTATAGAGCAGGCAGGGCTGAAATTGCAGCCCACTTAAAGTGGTTATATCACGAATTTTAGCCCCCCTTTTTTATTAGCTAAATTGAAAGACCTTGTTTCAGTGATTTTAAATCTGCAATTATAATTGAAATTGGATTGGTGAAAGTGATTTTACGGACGTTCAAAGTCACGATTTTCAGCATTTTTTTTTTGCGAACTTTTTGATCGGTATGCTAATGACTTGTGACGTAGAAAGTTGAACACATATATCAACATGGCGTATTCTACTAGTAATCTTAATAAGAAACGCGGAGGAAAACGCTGTGTTGCTGGCGGACCTAATCAAATTAGTTGCGCCAATGATTCAAAAACCGAAGGAATGTCGATGCATCTGTTTCCTAAAAAAGAAACAGAGCCGCAAAGACATAGAAAATGGGTAAATTTTGTGCGTAAACATAGACCGGGTTTTGAGGCTCCTCTACCTCGTGTCTGTGTTCTGCGCATTTTGAAGATTCTTGTTTTGACCTTAATTTGAGTGTGTAAGTCAAGCTCAAAAGAAGGTTGAAGAAAGATGCTATCCCAACCATTGACGTGGCTGGGATTCCTGAACCATTACAGGACGAAATAACCGATCGAAAGCGAAGACAAGTAAGTTTACGCTTGTTTATGTTAATTTTTCTTTTGTCATATGTAAATTCGATATAAGTTTTGTAGATTATTCGACATACTCTCCATAAGCCATCGCTGAAGGAAACATGTTCTCTCAATGAGGAAGTACCATCTACTAGTGATGAAGCTGAGCATGTTTAAGTATGCACTGGGAAGCAAACGATTCGCCATTTGAACGGCTTGCTATTTTCCATTTTACATTTATGCTATGATTTAATTCCATATATTTTTCTTTTGTCTTTTTCCCAGACTGACATTGAAGAAAAGATATTCTTTCATTTAATTCTTTCAGCTTAACCTCTCAGTAGTTGCACCAATTTGTTTTATTGTTTACTCTTGTTTCAAACCATTAAACTGCATGTCAACTTATATAGTGCATCCATGTATCTCCTATTTGGTTTTCATCTAGGCATATTTCCTGACCATTCCAAACTCAGCAAAGAAGGTCAACAGTCTCTACAGTGCACAAGTTAAAGACTATTCCATCATCGCCCCTCTGATGGTATGTAACTGTTGTGTTACCACTTGGATATGCTTTCCGAATAAAGTGGTAAACACAAGCAGGTAAAGGCCGAGTATTCTCCCATCCCATAGACCCACAAAACCATCGCATCAACCATCTGTATGCCACAGCTCTCAAGTACCTGAAGTAAATAAAAAGGTTGGACTAATTATTGTTGATGAAACAATGTTGATTATAACATTGTTTCTCATACAATTTACAATCTTACATATTTAATGATTGTGATGCTTGGCGGCGATAAGCACGTCCATTCCTATCTCTCAATAGTGGCCCGACGTTTTCAAGGACAGCCTCATGAACTAAAGGCCCAAATTTGGCATGCTGTGTTATGCATGATATTTTCTCAATGCTGCCATCGAATGTCATTTTCTGCAAAGCTGGTCCAATTTCCTTACAGCATCTGTACTCTAATGCGCCTTCTAACAAATCGGTATGACAGCATTGACAATTACACCTGAAACGTGGGAGCATTGTGGTTTATAAAGTAACTTTATGTATATTACAAACAGGAGAAAACAACAACTTACCATTCACCAAGTGGAATTACGCCATCACTTCGTTGTTCTAATGTCGCAGGAGAATTCCATCGGGATCATCTGGAGTATGCACTTCATCACCATCTCCTGCTAGCGGTTCATCGTCATATGCGAAGTCGTTTAAATGCTCGACATAACCCACGGATTCCGAGCTCGAATCAGATACGCATTCAGACATCGAATTCGAATTATCTGAGCACTGATTTGAGGCCATACTTTCCGGACAACTTGTTTTTTAATATTTTATTGAAAATACTGTCATTATTTGTTTTAAGACAAGAAAACGACAACAAAATCACCTTCTATAATATAATATTATATTGACGGAAACAGACGTGTTCAACTATCTACGTCACAAGTATCAATATGGCGTCGTAAAAAATTCGCAAATAGTACCCGACTTTGGAGGCAAAACTAAGCAACTTATATTTATCTGTTTAAGTCCAGCGACATGTCATAGTTCTTCAAATAATCCAAATTTTCAATTAAGCTCATAAAAAAGGGGGGCTAAAATTCGTGATATAACCACTTTAACATTGCTGAGTTCAACCTCAGGGTTGAAAATGCTTCATGTAATCAGGCCCTTAGAACATGATCTATCATATAGGATGCTATTTAATTTTTTATATGGAAAATAATCTAAATTCAGATTATGAGTGGTAAAGACCACCTTAAGTTTAGGTAGGACAAACCGAAAAACAATTAAATACGTAAATTTAGTCGTAGTGCTCCATCATAACTAATCACACATGATACATTGAATGCTTAGAATTATTTTGGCTGTTACAACAACCATGCATATATTGTGATTTTTTGCTTGGACGTAAGATCAACTGAGAATTACTAAAGCCTTTGGGTAAATTCACGTCGCATTTGGAGTTATGTGCAACAATATGGATATTAAATACTGCCATTCCAGGTAAAAATGTCATATCACAATTTGTGGCAAAATTGGCTGCTTGTCTATTAGCTTCCTCGCGCGCTTAACTACTTTAAAGTTTTATAAAAGGGATTGAGCATTGAGGCTTGTGAATATTTTAGAGATGTTACACGTCATTTCAATTTCGTTGAAAAATAATTAAATTTTGGGTTTTTAACAGTCTGTTTTGTACATTGATATTAATATTTTTCTTGGGTTAGAGAACCTACTATGAACTATGTTTTGTAGATTCTAAGTATGTATAGTTCAGTTTTCCTACCTGATTAGAGCATCATCTTTAAAATAATTTATTTGTATAAGATTTCAAACTCAGACATGAAGAAAATAATTTATTGAAAACTTTTGAGCTGCAAGCAATGGTGAATTCGATTCACAAATAACAATGATTCTGTTGAATTGATGAATATAAATTAAGTACAAACATATTAAAGTAAAAACTGCCTTTAGCACCCCCTATATTTAACAACCTCTTGCCTTTAAAGACTGTCATAAAATTTCGTTTCTTCAAATTTCGACCACTCTCACTGGCGGCAGTTGTTGGTAAATATAGTTGGTACACAACACAGGTTCTACTGCACTTCAAACACTTTAAGTACTTATATAATGGCATGCTTTTTTAAAGAGGTGCTTAAACCCAAAAACTTTGCAATGGCATATTCAAAAATGATTTTAACCGTAATAAAATAGATATTGAGGAAATATCCAATCGTTGAGCCAATTTAAATTTCAATCAACAAGAATTAAATTCAATTTGTACAAAAATCTGGAATGATAGGCCTTGCAAAAGAAACCATCCAACAAACAATGAAGGACTGCATGTCTTAGCATGTGCAGCTAGCGAGTGCATTGAAGAGCTATCAATCCAAGTTTTTTTGAATAAAGTTAGATTTAATTGGTGAAAATTGTTGAAATTGCTCTTGATTCTTAAATAGTGTAATTTTTCCTCCGACACAAATGAAAATGTCATTCGCTTTTGAGTCAACTATTCAGTAACTTTAGTTCTTCAAGTATATTGCTGTAAATTCTATTGAAGACGCTACAGTTATACTTCATATAAAAAGTATTTTTTCAGGTGTATTTTAGAATCCGAAGTTGTAAATAACCATTATTTGTAGACTTTATAGTTAAACATAGAAATGTGATGCTGCAAAGTTTTTGGTATAAGCACCTCTGTTTAAAAAGTAAATGACTGAAAAATAAGCATGTTAACAATGCCTGAAAATGAATAGTCTGTGATATTTTAAAATAACTAAAATGCACCTTGAGATACATGCCACGTTGATATGATCCAGGCTGACCTGGTCAACTGAGTCAGTTCTTTCAAGACGAAAAGCTGTATGATAAACTAACCAGCCCACTTATTTCATTTTTACCTCACCCAAACGAGATGAGATCTCTCATCAAAAAGGCAATAAGTCTTTTACTTGCACAACTCACTAACTTGTTTTTCAATTCACCCTTAAAACACGTCAAGTAAAAAGTTTCACTGCTTGAAATGTACGTGAATGGGTACCAAAGCCAGTTCAGCAATAATTTCAAAATGTAGTTAACTTGTGTGAATGCGAGTTTTGGGTCATTGCATATTTGCTTGTATACAGGTGCATGAAACAATTTCGTCTGGCTTAGCGAGCTTAACTTCTTACCTGGCCAGACTGTTCATATCAATGTTGGGCTTTTCATTTATCTATTTAATAAGCGATTCCTTGTCAAAGCAGCTTAAGAGTTTTCTTACTTTAAATTATATTTTAAGGCTTCACAACGACGATGGCACATAGTTCACAAAATTTCCATGTTCTTCATCCGCTGTTTCTGCCATCACGCCGTTTTTTGAAAAGCTTCTGTAAAGTTAATTTTAACAAAGTTAATTGGTTTGTTGCATTAACTGTAGAGTTTATATGTTAGCGAATCAGAGTCATTATAAGGATTTTCCTCGAGTGCCATCTATATTGAAACTTGAATAAGACATGTATTTAACCAATACAAATTTTTTTTGTAAAATTATTGCAGTAGTGATTTAGTCCAATAATTTGAAAGGATAGATTTTTGAAGTATGTCATCCTGGTGAAATTTTCGAATGGTAGGATTAGTGTGTGAAACATGTATGTATTCATTATTGATACATCACACATAAATGGTTTCACAGTGTAATTTATTTGTCATGCTAATGTTATGTTTCATTCTAATTAAGTTCACCAAAAATTTGTGAGTAAAGAATATTTTCCATTGTTGATTCACAACACATGAATGTATCCACATTATGGGAAATGTGCAATTCTGATGTCTTTCACTAAAAGATTTGTGTAAAAAATGCATGTACTCATTTTACGGTGTTAGTTATGAGTCAGTGTGAGTTATGAATCATCCTGCTGATGTAGTTCACTTTGAGGATCGTGACTAAAACACCACACGTGTACATACGAGTACATACGAGTGACATACGAGTACATACGAGTAACATACGAGTGACATACGAGTGACATACGAGTACATACATACGAGTGACATACATACGAGTGACATACATACGAGTGATATACGACTATATACTGGTCACAAATGAGAATAAGCACAATTTCTTCAATAATACATTGATATTTGCATTCACTTTTGCTTGTTTGGATTATGAGGCGACAATTTGATGAATTTAAATGTTGAAAAAGTATTTTATTTGCATACTATATTCATTTGTATGTTTTCGTTGAATTTGGTGTCTGTTGTGCGCAATGTCTTAATCTGTTAAACGGTTTAAATGTATCAACAACGGTAGTCTTTTGCTGGAGTTGCCCTAAAGTAAACTCCCGTACAAAAAATATTGAGCAGTTATTCTGAGAACTATTAGCACATGTGTACACTATTTTTAATCTTATATTAATATATTAAGATATTAAAAATCTTGGGAAAAAAAACAATTAGATGTACTTGTCATATAAATCATTGATGTGGATTTACTCCTCGAATGTTGCATTCATTTTATTTATTCTACCAAAGAAATATGAGGTAGATTAGTGAGGAATCAATCAGACTGCACATTAGCTCATATCCTGTCTCTTTTTTAAAATTTTATGAATAATTTATTTAGATCTTTAAGATACTGGTTTTGCAGTTCAAAGACTGAATTACATCAGCTAGAACTTTAAAAACATTAAAAGTAATCAGAAATCGTACGCATAAAATGATACATATACGTAACACAGTGCAACTGTCGTTCAATTCAAATATATATAATGTACATTTATTTCATATAGCACGTTTACAAGGCATTATTTATACGCTGTATATTTAATCGCTTTCATAAATATGTATTTTCTAGGTGAAAGTGTGTCAAAAAGCGCTCAAATACAGGCAAATCGCATCGACATAATATGTTTTTTGTACTAGAGTTTACTTTATTGCAACTCCAACGCAAGACTACCGTTGTTGATACATTTAAACCGTTTAATAGATTAAGACATTGCGCACAACGGACACGAAATTCAACTGAAACATACGAATGAATGTGCGAATAAAATACCTTTTCAGCATTTAAATCCATCAAAAGGTTGCCCCAGAGTCCAGACAAATACAAGCAAAAGTGAATGCAAATATCAATGTATTATGGAAGAAACTGTTCTATTTCTCATTTGTGACCAGTATATAGTCGTATGTCACTCGTATGTACTCGTATGTCAGTCGTATGTACTTGTATGTACTCGTATGTCACTCTTTTTTGTATGTACTCGTATGTCACTCTTTTTGTATGTACTCGTATGTACTCGTGTGTTGTTTTAGTCACGATCCACTTTTAGTGAATCTGGTGTGACAAGCATGCATGTATTCTGTGCGAAGTTGTTAGAGCAATGATTATCACTGAAAATTTTAGTGCAGTTTTTGCACCGTACCAGGTGTTTGGCTATAATTAATTCAGTAATTTATATGTTTGTAAATGATGATCGTCCAGGTTAATAAAGTCCTGAGAAGGACTGTTTTTGATGTTGTTGACTGACGTTTCGACAACCTTAGCGGTAGTCATCTTCAGAGTCAAATGAGGAGTAAACGTCAGGTTAGCCGTATTTATTGTCTGGTTCTTACGTCATTGTATTGTGTGTACAGGAAATGTGTATTGTCATTGTGGATTAGTGTGAAGTGAAATATTTTATTTTTAGTTGTGATGTGTGATTTAGGTGTGACGTTTTTAGTTGTAATGTGTGGTGTCAATTGTGTATTGTCATTGTGAATTAGTTTGAAGTGTAATGTTTTTAGTTGATCGTTTGTTTGTATTGTGAATAAGTCGTTTGTAAGGTGCCGGTAATTGCTGTGATCTGTTCAGGGTTTGTTCCAAGTTGGTATACCAACTTTCTAATGTAAGCCGTTGTCTATAGTCAGTACTGTAAGTGATGCATTTTGCCGAGTCCCAGTCAATGTTGTGCTTTGTGATTCGGTGATGTTCGGCAATGTGATTAGTTTTGTCTTGTTTCTTAGTAGCTCGTTTGTGCTCAGTAAGTCTTATGTTTAAGTTCCTGCCAGTTTCCCCGATATAGAGGCGTGGCAGTCGGAGCAGTTTATTTTGTAAACTGCACCTTGTCGTTCGTTGGGTTGTTCTTTGTCCTTTATGTTCGTTAGTACTTGTCGTAATGTTGTGATTGGTTTATGTGAGACACGTATGTTGTATGGTCGTAAGATACGCGAGATAGTCTCAGACGTACCTTTGATGTAAGGTATCGTTGCTGTTGTCACTGAGTTGTTCGTTTCGTTGGGTTCGTTGGGTTTGTAAGTGTTGCGTTTGATAAAGTCAGAGTTATAGTTGTTTTTGTCAAAAACACGTTTGAGATAGTTGTTTTCGTTTTGTAGAGCGTCCGGTGAATCACATATGATTCGTGCACGTCTTGTTAATGTTCTGATTGTGGTGGCTTTGTGTGATGTAGGGTTGTAAGATGATTGGTCTAGTAGTCGGTCAGTATGTGTTGGCTTGCGATAAACTGTTGTTCCTAGTTTTGATTGTCATGTTTTACCAAACAGTCGAGGAAGGAAGAGTTCCGTTTTCTTCGACATCTTTGGTAAATTGTATGTGGCTGTTCTGTTTGTTGATGTGAGTATGGAAGTCATCAATCTCGTCTGCATGTAGTGCTGTGATTGTGTCATCTACGTAGCGAAACCAAAAAGGTAGTGCATGTTTGTAAGTCATGAGTGCCCGTTCCTCTATAGATTGCATTACAATTTCAGCAACTACAACAGAAACGGGCGAGCCCATTGCTGTCCCATGTAATTGTTTGTAGTGTGTTCCTTTGTATTGGAAGTAAGTCGAGGTGAGGCAGAGCTCTAGTAACTCCATAATGTCTTCTGTCGGTAATGGCAGTACGTCCGTGGTGTTTGTAATGAGGGTTTTTGTACAAGTAAGTGCCAGATTAAGTGGAATACTGGTGAACAGTGATTTCACATCAAAAGACACTAGTATATAGTTGTCTGGTATTTGTATAGTGCACAGTTTTTTAATGAAAGTTTCAGTGGATTGTAGCTTGTGTTTTGATTTGTTTGTGAGTGGTTGCAGTATGTTAGTCAAGTACTTTGAGAGTTCGTAAGTAGGCGAACCAAAGAATGATACAATTGGTCGCATGGGTATTTGTGGTTTGTGAAGTTTTGTAGTCCGTATAGTCTGGGTGGTCGTGGTACTGAACATCTGAGTCGATAGTAAATACGTTCAGATATAATGTTAGATTTTCTCATAGAGAAGATCTTGCTGTTAAGTTTGCGTACTAGTGATGGTGTTGGGTCTCGTTTGAGTTGTTCGTACGTTTGTCTGTCGTTAACAAGTGCGTCCATTTTGTTAAAGTAATCATTCCTGTCCATGACCACAGTCACGCGTCCTTTGTCTGCTGGTAAAATGACGATGTTGTTGTCGTGTTTTAGTCGTTTGAGTGCTTGCTGTTCGTCTTTGTCAAGTTGTTGTCACGTATAGAGGACGATTGTAAAGTGGAGGCTATCCTGCTTCTGATCTCGTCTTTGTTGTTTCTGACAAGTCTCTTTGATACGCTAGGACAGCCTCGACACTTGATACTATCGTCTCAGTCGGGATTTGTCTAGGTGTTATGGAATGTTTTAGTCCGTAAGATAGTAGTCGCGTTTCAGTTTCGTCTAATGGGCGGGAAGAAATATTCCTCACCCAGTTATCGTCATGTTTATGTCTTGCACGTGTTTTAGTTTGTTTTAAACGTTCAAGTTTTTGTTGTTGTTTGATTTGGTGTTGTGTCTCTGTCTTGTTTGCTCGTTTCTCTGCAATAGTTTGTATGGTAGAAAGTAAAGTATCACTTACTGTCGTTGGTATGAGTTCCTTCAGTTTGTTCAGTCTTTGTTCTTGTTGTTTGATGTGATAGTTGATTCGTCTGTGACAGTCGTTAATCCGTGCTCGTATCAGTCGTCTGCTGGTGGATTTGACAATCTGAATAGCCTCTTGTGTGTTCAACGGAGACTTAATTCTAAGTCCTGTCGGAACGAGACCAAAATCCTTGCAGCGGTGGTTGAACCAGAGTTGTTGGCGTATGCGTCTGACGTTGCTTGCAAAACGTATGTAGTCGTTAGCAAGACAGAGCGAACAACTTGAGCAATGATTGTCACTGAAAATTTTGGTGCAGTTTTTTCACCGTATCAGGTGTTTGGCTATAATTAATTCAGTAATTTATGATATCAACAATTAACGTGTTTATTATTCTGCTAACCTTGGAAATAATGCGGTATTCTGTCGATATTTGTAGATACAACCCAACAACAGCAGCACAATAATGATTATCAGAAGGACGAAAATCGCAATAAGGACGTCTTCTGTTGTATCCGACGTTACAGCATGATTTGATGGTAATAGGTCGGTTGTAGAGATTGACAATTTATTGTTTGGGAATTTCGTCTGGTCTGTTTGTAATGTTATCCAAAATCTGGAAACGTGGATGACTGGAACGTTCATGGTAGAAACCGTAAAGATAGTCGGTGTGCCTATTGGGAAAAAGTGTCTTTTGAATTGGGCAAGACTTAAATGTTGAGGTAAAGTTAGATTTTATCATATTGTGATCTGATCAAATTAGATTAGACTCGTGTCAATTAGTTGTATTGAGAAGGCAATTTGAAGTGATAAGATTAAATTTGATGAATTTTATTCTTCCATTTCTGTATCATTTACACACATATCCAATTCCCATGTCTTGTTAATATTGTAAGCTATAAAGGCCTCGAAATTTTTTGAAGATATTGATTTGATATTTGAATTATGAATGAAAATTTCCATTTGAATTTCTCAACAAAAATAGCATGATTTACATTATATTCTTGAAAGAAAATTGCACAAGAATGTTAATTATTCATTTAACATACGACGACACCAATTATGATTTGATTTCAATAAAAGTGTGTCTTTACATAAGATGTTTCTTATTTGTGTAGCTACTGATTAGTATCAGGCTAGCAACCTAGCTAGTATAAGACCTCACGTTTTGGAATTATTTATTCCATACAATTGATCTTTGCATTGGCATTGTACGATATACAACATTGAGATTTAGCTCAAGCATAACAGATTATTGTGTCTACATGGAGCAAAATGCAGGCGAGAATTTTTTATTTATATTTACACAAGGTATTAGATACTTGTCAAGCAATGCATTTGAAGTAATTACTTCATGTTGTATTAATTTATAATTTTGCAATACTTTATACTTAGTATATATGCATGCACATACTTCTTATACACCTTCTCTTGTGGCGACTCGTAATATACAGGATACGTTTCCTGTAAGACTGTTTTAAATTTGCGAAGAACGAGTCTGTGTGGGTATTTACTAAATATAAATGCTATAATCATATTGTGCATATTTCATTGATATTTAATAAACAAACCATGAATCCCAATTGCGTGATTGCATTCTGATAAATAAACCAGTTAAATAACTAAAACAAATTCATTGTAATTGACTGAAACTGGCGGTGGTTTTGTATAATCTTTCGATGAATTATGAGAGAATTACTGTTGTAAAATATTTCAAAAATATTCCTGGTAAATTTTCTCAAAATTAAACGCTAAGCATTACTTTCTTGAATTTAAATATCAACATAAATGTGTTTGAATGACACAAAAGGGCTTCAAATAAAACCCGTTTGCCAAAATGTCTTGGAGTCCATGGTTATTCACAAATGACATAAAAGTAGATTTAACGAAGAACGATTTCAAAAGCCATTGGAATTACATGATTTGTGTTTATATGGTGTGTGGTGTGAAGCCGTATAACGATGACTTTCTTTACCGGATAATTTAACTTTTCCATGATATAAACGTTGGAAGTAAGCTGGCAGTAGTCATCGCTAAAGGACCGGTTAACAGAAAACGACCGTGAATAGTTCTGCTCAGACTTGATAAAAATTCTTTCGCCTAAATTCGATTCCTATCTGAGAACTGTCTGATAGAATTATTCTAAATTTTATGTACATTGAAACATTGGGCATAATACCTAATACCGAGCTAAGGACTAAGAAACCTAACCGACTTACTTTAAATAGGACTTACTTTTAGTCTAAAGTTGATAAATAGTTTGATTTTTAGTTTAGACTTTGCCATACATTGTCAACGATCGAGTGCGCCTAATATTACCACTTACCGAACGACAAACAAAAATAATATGCACTTACCACAATGCTTCTTGCATCGTCTTTGGTCTTTTCCTTGTTGTTTGCAGCTTTGGTAATGCAAAGGACAAGGTTGGCAAACTAAATCATCCCCAAAATAGCTGCTAGGATAGAATCTAGGTGGGCACGTTTTTGATTTTACTCGAGAAAGGAGAATACCAAACCCCCACAACATCCCGAACCACCGAAACAAATCCATAGTATCAGAATTATAGAAAAAAACCGTTATGTAGTTTAAACTTTAAGTCAGAATATTCTTTCAACAACCCTTCGTCTTTCTAAAAGTTCTTGAATCGGCTATAACAAGTTACAAGCGTTTGTTCGTGGTTCTTTCAGTGCCTCTTGTGTCTGGTAATCTCCCGTCTCCTTTGCTGGCGTCATCTCAGTGGGCATCAGCCAGTCACATTCTTGTAATCATGAGTATGTTTATTATAGACTCGCAGTCAAACATTGTCAAATACATGTATCCAATATCAGGAATTCAGACTAACTGCACTCACTATGGTCGACATAATTTATTTGTATCGAGTGCAATAACATTCCGTGTTCTAATACTGATTTCATATCTAAAAGTTTAGAGGATTGCGATTGCGGTCATTTTTCACACTTTAATAATGTTGCCCAACAGAAAATGGACGAAACTTCTCAACAAAATGACAATAACTGAGCTAAATATCATAACCAGCCGACAATTTAAAGAAATATAATATAAAACATATTCCCAAGAAACAAGACATCTTGAGATTGCAAAATATGAATCAAAACAAGACGAGAAGTGAACTGTAAATTTGTGACTTTATTTCAAAGTCGTCCTCAGACAGAATGATGAATCATGCAATCGCACGTTGTCTTGCTTCTTCGGAATTTGTTTTATATTATATGAGCTAAATATATCTTATGAAAACGTGATGCTGGCTTCAATGACCACTTAAAACCTGCTTTGAATTAATATTGTTACTGTTGTAAAAAGACAATGCTGGCATTGATTCAAGTTTTTTGAAGGAAAATTGCTCATGTCATTTTAGGAAAGAGCTAATTGACGCTACAACGACTTGAAATTGCTATTTTAATCTGCAACCTGGTTTTCTCTGTAAAACAAACGATTCTGATGATGTTTATATAAATCAAAAAATGAGTGTCGAAATGTTTTATTTGTTCTTCAAGATCATTCCCTTAATTTACCAGTCGAAGACCCGTAGCTGTTTATTGATGCTTTCCTTGTGTGTGTGTTTTTTTTTACGAGGAGGGGTAAGACGTTTTTTGTTTCTCATTTTTTGCTTTAGTGGGATAATTCTGTTGCAATAAAATCACCCTGAAAATCACATTAATAACCATATTAGTTACACTCTTGCGTCCAAGCTGTGAAGCCTCTTAGCTTGTTTAACCTTAGCAAAGGTGAGGCATCACTTATAACAAATAATTAATTTACATATGCCATAGCTTTCATTAAAAGATTCTACTCAGAAAATTGCAGGAAATTTATCTGCATGTGCCGAAGTTGTTTTCAAGTCACACCCTTATGTTTAATTCTCTTATGAAAAGTAGTAATACACATGGGGGTACGAATCCATAAAAAGTTTACTTTTTATGTATTCGAATCCCCCATGTGTATTACTACTACACAAGTGGGTAAAAATCTCGAGGTTATAATCTATAGTTTAAAAATATGGAATCTATATGTTTTAAAAACGGTCTTTACAAACAAATGTTAAGAAAGCATCGGTTCGGAGGGGGATCGGCAGCGCAGAGCACAAAGTGCTCGAGCAGGGGAATGGATCCCCCGAGAATTCTCAGCGACGGTGGGGAAAATTTTCACGAAGTGAAAATTCGGAGCGTCCCCTTAGATTCGAAGAATATTCGAAGAATATTCGAGAATAACAGAGGCTTAAGAAATGCTCTTCAAAAAACCGTCTTTAATAATCAAGTGTTAATAATCAAGTGTTATTAAAATATCAGTAGCAGCGCGCGTGTCTTAGTGCATGTTCTTAATAATGGTTGTTTAATGTAATAGCACATTTCATCAGCGCATGTATAATAATACAATGTTTTACAAAATATGGAATCTATATGTTTTTTTAATTTGTCTGTCAAGCGCGTGTCTTAGTGCATGTTCTTAACAATGGTTGTTTAATGTAATAGCACATTTCATCAGCGCATGTATAATAATACAATGTTGTACAAAACTATGGAATCTATATGTTTTTTTTAATTTGTCTGTCAAGCGAGTGTCATATAATTTTTGTTAAAATTGTTTTTAATAATTGTTTCAGGATTTTGAATCTTTTTGTATATCGCTTTTGTATTAATTACTTATTACAAACAGTTATGTGATATGTAGTCAAACATGAGGAGCAGGTATGTATGATTTTACTCTAACAGAGGCCCACGCTACATGCTTACTACACATTATAACTGTATATTAAAATAAGTTTTAATTATCATTTAAATAATGACCATAAGCTCTAGTAGTTATACCATCATCTAATATATACCGTTTATCATCAAAACAGCTAAGTGATACTTTATTAATTTCATAACTACTAAGTTGATGGTTTACACTTCTAATAGTTTTCATTGTATGATGTATTTGTTTATTTTCAAATAGTGTTTGTTTATAGTCTTCATGTTTTATTTTGTTTTTAATAATATTTTTCTTAATTCCTTTAGCTTTTTTATCTCCTTTATTATTATCTTTAATATAACTATACATCTTACTTCTTAAACCAACAAATTCTTTAACTACTATTCCAGCAGCTTCATCTTTCATTTTACCAATAACTTTTTTATTAGTTTTATCATGATATTTATGGTATTCTGGGTAATCACTAGTATCAAATTTATCTTTATCAACCCAAAAATCTTTATAGACATCTTCAGTTTCGATTTCATATGTTAGACTATCTGTGTCTGTGAAAAGAAGTTTAGCTTTATCACCATATTTATTCTTGATATAATTGTAATGAAAATCATACATCAAAGTTTTACTTAAATCTAAGATACACATACCCACATATGCCGGCCTGTTGAGAACCAATTGTTCTTTGATCTTATGTACAGCCACAAGGTTCTCATTGAATATTTTACTACTTACATAAGTAGGTTTTGAAGCTAATTTTAATAATTTATTTTTATTAGTTACTAGTCTAACATCTACTTTTTCGTAAGTTTTCCATCGTCTTACCAAAACACTGTTATTCATGAGTTTGAAGAAGTCTTTTCAAAAGAATTTTTGCATTAGTTCTTTTTGAGTATTAAAGTCTATGTATTTTTTCAACCATGGAGATTGATTAAATTCAAGTACTCTATGTACTTTTTAATTTTAACCCGAGATCTAAGTATAATTGAAGATTTCTATAATGTAGCACATACTTGTCTTTATTTTGTAATGTAGGTATTAATTTTGAAACTAAACCTGTTGATATATTGTAATTAGAAGCAATTGTCTTACAATATTTTGACAGCATGTTGCTAGTTACCTTAATTTTTCTGGTGCTAGTGGATAATCGTTATGTAAATCATGTAGTTTTTCAGGGTATTTTAAATCAACTTCAAGTATTAAACCTTCTTTACAATCTTCTTGATATTCAGCAAGGTTTAAGTTGTTAATCTGTTTCTCAGTTAACCATTCGAAACCACCAGTAGGTAGGTTTTGTGACATAGCCCATCCATATAGATTGTTTGCGTCTAGATACATTATATATTTTAAGGGTTTATTCTTATCAAATGTTTTCATATACTTGTTATTAGCCTTACCATATCGATTAGAAATATAAGAAACACCACCTCTCATTCCTTTTTCAATGAATTGAAACATATCAATATCAGTCATTAGTTCTAATTTAATATCTGTCATCTTCAACATAGCATCCCAAGACAACCCAGGACTAGTAAAATAATGACATGGGTCTAAGTTATAGTATTCTAAGCATGTTTTTCGAAAGTTTTCAAATACATCAGCTAATAACAATACATCAGATTTCAGATACAAATCGTGGTAATCACCCATGTTTTTTAGATTGAATGTATTCCAAACATTTTGAGCATGTTTATAAGAATCATCTGATATATTCTCATCAGTAAGAATACTATAAAATTCTTCTTTTGAAGGCAACCCATTATCAAACTTTTCAAACGAGTCCATATAATCATATGGATATATACCTTTTCTAGTCATTAAATTAAGTTTTTCACCTTTAAACTGATTAGAGGTATATTTAAATGATTCTTTAGGTAAATTACTAACAAGTTTTTCTAAACTAGAGCTCATAAATTGAAAACTATCAAGAAATGTTAAACATAAAGCCATCCATATTATTAGGTATAGCATTTATATTCATCTGTGTTTCTTCACCTTTTTGTTTTTGTATGTATGCTTATTAACAATAGCTCCGATTTCTTGCATAATAAAGTGACTATCATACCCACGCAGATTGTGAAATATTACTGGGATTTTAATTTATCAGGGTCTATTCTAAGTTTTAAATTACAATCTTGATGTGCCGAGCCTCTATATTTACCAGTGATATGACAATGGTCTCGAACTCGAATATCTTTGTTAGTATATTTTTTGTTACAGATATGACATTCATCAGCTTTTTTAAAGTCTTCTTCATTATCAGAGGTTATTTTTAATGGTTTATTAAAGTGAGTTTTCATAATATTTTTACAATATTTAACTTCTTTTAACATAGATTCCATAAATTTGTAAACAGCCTTTTGACCTCTATATAGTTGAATTGGTTTAGTGAATTTATCATCATAACAACAAACAACTTTATATCCATAACCACAGTCTGTATGTTTCTGATAGGCTTCTGTATATGATTTTTTATTATTTTGATTACAACTAGATATCTTTTCTGTAATAGCCTCAAAGTCAGCATATATAATAAATGGTACTGGTTGTTGCTTATGATAGTTGTTGAATTTCAGTATGTTATTATTTTTATCAGGCATTCTTACTGATTGTATACCATTTATTAGTATACAGTTTTCTATATGGTTATTTAATATTTTTTCAGAACTAAAACATTGAAGACATCGCATACAAAAGTGTTTTCTTTCCTTATGCTTTGTTTTATTGTACATAAATGCATTAAAATCTTTTATTAATACATGTTTGTTTTCATTATCAGTTATCAATAGTAGTTCCATATGGTCTTCAAATTTTTCTTTTGATATATAAATGGGTATGGTTGTTTATTTTCATAACCGAAGACATTAATGTTAATTTTGTTTTGCTTTTCGATTTTATTATATTGTTTAACAGTCACTGGAAATTCAATCCCAGAGTAGTCTAATTTGTTAATATATTCCTTATCAGATTTTTTATTCTTTTGGGTGTTTATTTTGTGGTTTAAATAACTAATATGGCACCATCTAAAACATTCATTATCTGTATTTTGATATTAATTAACCTTTTTAGAGTTTTAAGTTCTTGTGGTAAATTAATATATGAAGATCCTTGTAATGGCTTGTATTTAACAACATTAAGATAATGATTATCTATAGATTTAATAACCCATCCAGAACCTTCTTGATTAAATTTACTAATTTATTTAATATATTTTGTTTTGAAATTTGTAGTGATTCAGTAATATTTTCATTATTTGTAATTGTTAAAGCTTGACTGTTAAAATAAGCAGTTTTATTATATGATCAACATCACCACTATTTTTATTTTAATTTTTCAAATGTTACCTTAAGCGTTTCAACAAATTTTAATCCTTTCATTGTTGTTAATATTTCTTTAATAT